CGAGTGAGAGGGTGTACTGGCCTCACCACCTTCCTAAATGCATCGCTGCAATAACGAGCAAATAGGCTGAGAAACACTCTCAGCAAGCAAGCTGAGAAGCACTCTCAGCAAGCAAAATGGCCCATGAGCAGCCCAAAAATTGCCTTCCATCATTGACTTCTTATGAAGAACAAAGAGACGATGGGAAGAACTTTACAGGAAAAAACTTCGCTGCGGGCCAGAGAACATTTCCTATACCTCCCATACCAAAGGTGACATCAAAGTAAATATAAGGCGGACGGACTAAACAGTCCATTTTCGGATCAGATAGATCGTCAGAATGCCAAGAAATGGCAGCAAATTGGTTTCGAATAAGAAAATGAGGAGATGAAGATAGAGGATGAAAAATGCTAAACATTTATAAGGGGGTGAAGATGAAGAGACAGAATATGAACAGCCACATTTCTGTCTAATAGACGGAATTAAATGGCCCTAAGTTTCGGGAACAGTAATGGGAATATCAAAAGGGAACGGACAAAATTCTTAATGCAAAGCAGTTAAATGCTTGAAGAATTGATGATTAGAAAATAAACATCAAATAAATGCACAAGAAATTAATGTTCATTAATAAGGGACAAAAGTACAAAAAAGAAAAGACATCGTGTGTCTTAATTACAAACTACCCCATAAGGAACGAATTCGTTCCCTAAGTTTTTCCCAATCCTCGTTCTGTCGGGAGGAAGTGATGTTCAATTCAGTCGCAACGTCATCATCATCAACCTCCAGCTTGTTATACTGTTCGACCAAGGATTTGGTTCGCTCAATTCCCTGAGAGGCGTTGCGCTTTTTAGCGGCCATCCTCGCTCTGCAATCGTCCATTTTGGCTTGAAGTTCCCTCATCTGAGCAGCCAAGTTAACCATCAAGGAGTCTTCAATCATGACTTCGGAAGAGATTTCTTGCAACTCGTCCTTAGCCTTGTTGATCTCCAAGCACAGAGACTCTTTCTCGGCTACGGCTCGAAGATATTGAGTACGCTTGGCCTTTAGTTCAGCATTCTTGGCCAGCATAGTAAGGACCTCGGAGTGAATGACCTTCAACGTCGCTTTAAAGTCGGCAGAAAGATTGAGCGACGGAAGCGTCAGTGCTTGCTCTAATTTCGCACTCAAGCGTTCAAGTTCATCCTTGTGTCTGGCAACACTAGCCCTTCCAATGTCCATGTCCATGAAGGATACGTACTCAAATACCAACTCCTTCAAGAACTTCAAGTCCTCTTCTGAAGAAGCAGCAGAACGATCATATGGAGTAGGGCGAGGCATTTGGACCTGCCCCCAGGAAGCGAACAAATCCTGGATAGAACGAACAATCCTGTCAGCATCCTGCAAAGAAGATTGCCAACATTAAAAATATTCGTTACAACGAACAAGTTGGAAATAGGAATGGGACAAAGAGAAAAAACTACCTCGTCGACAATCGTAGAAGATGGCGCACCCTCAGCCAAGCTGGCCACCAACGACTCATCCATTCGTGAGGACTTCCCCTTGTCCGAGCGAGAAGACGTTGTCACAACGGGCGGACTCATGGGAGTATCTGCAAAGTTCAAAGAGCAACCAGTCAGAAACCAATAGCACGAGCAAAGGTAAGATATCAAAAAAAAACTGAATAACCTTCTGCTTCGGTGATTGGGGGGTCGACGCCCTGGGAGGAAGGTGGCTCATTCATGGGTTGTGATGAAGAATCTGGGACTGAAGATATACCTTTAAGCATGGTCCCATCATCAACCGGTTTGGATGAAGTAGCCTCAACAGGGGATGATGGAGCAGGAGTTGGTAATGCCAAAGCCTTTGAAGGGGAAGCTGAGCTTTTCTGAAAAGTCCAAAAGATCATCAGTACACAGAAAATTTTCAAATGAGGAAGAGCATACTTGTAAATAGGCCAATTTAAGTACCTTCCTTTTAACGATAAGAGGGACATCATCATCATCATCATCAACATCATCCTCCAGAATGGGAGATGCTGAGGCTGACCGTTTGCGGCTTGGAGCACTCTTGACCATAGTTGGCCTGGCAGGGAGGGAAGAAGATGGACGAGCAGATTGTTTAGTACGACGAGAAGGAGAGGGGTTCCGAATAGACAAAGGAGTGGCCAAAACAGGAGAAGGAGAAGAAATACTCGGTTGGTCTAATGAATGAAAGGCACGATTGGCCTCAGTCGCAAATAATCTGCGCTTCACCGATGGCCAAAGTTGTTCGAAAAGAGGGTGAGTAGCGTGACAAGGATTAAAAGGGGCTAATGAAAAATGGCTCGATAAATGGAGGTTGCGAGCGTTTATAGCCTCTGCTTCCACCTTATTAATGGTATGAAAACGGTCGTTTAAGTTCTTCGAATAGCAAAGAGGAACAAGCCAAGTTTGGCCAAAACCAAGCTGCCGAGCAAAAAATTGGGGAGCATAAATTTCTACCCCAGCTTTGGCATTGGTCCAGGTTAAGATATCGTGGAAAAACTCCCTCCCAGTTAAGATCTGGTTCCAAATGAGCAGAGAGGTGCTCGCGCTATCTAGAGTGGAAGGAGGATGTACATAGTCCGGAGTCAAAAAAAGAGGGAAAGGAAAGAAGGAAGAGATCGAATTTAAAGAATAAAAGAATGAAAAAATGTCCCTATTGGACATACTTACAGGAGTTAAAGGCTCCATAGCTAGCTCGTAACAGCTAGCAGAAGGACAAGAAATGGATGGAGCACCAAGCGATGGAAAATAGGATCTCAACCACAGCTGAGTGAACCAAAATATAGTTTTTACCGAACTGAGGGGCACCACCAGGAACTAAGATGCCTGGGAAAACGGTATCACCCAAAGGTGGTAAATTTACCAGGGCCCCAACATCCCTTAACATAATAGACATGGGGCCAAGAGGAAAAATAAAGGTGTTATACTCAGAGGACTAAAAGCTCAAAGCAATCGGAAAGAGCGCTGAATCAAAAGTAGGAGGGCGAATAGAGACTTCCAACAAATCAGAAATCCTAGCGCTATCAAAAAGTGCCTTAGTAGGACCATGACCCACAAGACGAGCATGCCACCTACGAAAAGCTACGTCAGATTTGGGCCAAGTGCGAATACCTTTTTCACGAAGTGGCCCCAGCGGCAAAGAATTCAGAAAAGGAGGGCCATGAGTGCAAGGAAACAGCTGACCCACCGCCGCCTGTTCGACTGCTTCCGCATTGTTGAAGAAAGGACCCAAGTAAAACTCATTACGTCCAACATCGGCGGGCGCAAGAAAACTTGGGGTTACGTATGAACGATTCAGAAGTTTCTGAAAGTCGTCAAAACTAAAGGGATCGCTAGCTTGGGATTGTAAAGCAGTCATTGAAGAAGGAACGAAGCTTTTCAGAGTTACGTAACAAGGAAGCAAAATATGAACAGTGAATCGCGAAGGATGCGTAAGAAATATGAAACGTGATTTCGTAGCAGTAAAATGGCATGTTCAGAGTTTATAAGGGTTAGCAAAGCGACGCACCTTTTCAAGTTATAGAAGGAAACAATGATTGAAATTCTTTGGGAATCGTGAACGTTGCTGAAGACGTGGAGTGAATATGGCAAAATTCAATAATTATTATTAATTCTGCCATATTGGGGGGTAATTGTTGACACATAAAAATTCAGCCCAAATCGAACAGCCCAGAGAATAAAACCCAATGGGAGGATCCCCAAATCAGATAGCCCAAAGAACGAAATCCAATTGAACGAATCAAGGTGAATGCCCAAATAAGGGGCCCAATAGTGCGGTAACGCCATCGTCCAAGTTTGCAAGTCTCTCAGAGTCTGAACGAATAGAGTGGCATACGGTCGTCCAAAGTCTCGCCCAAATGTTCAAGTCGCCCAAGGTATCAACAAACATAACGCATTATGATGCAGTTATTGAGGCAATTGCTAAAGTAACTTTATCACGTTCCACGACTCAAGGGGTTCAATCCAAAGCGGTTGAACGATGCAAGATAATGGCAGCAGTTAAAAGGACAGTTGCATGACAAAATGGCCACTACAAAGAAAGTGGGTAGTTATAGGGCGATCAAGCAGTTTTTTAGAGCAGTTAATCACAAAGGGATCGCCGATGAAGTATAAAAGAGAGAAAGAACTTAGAAGAAAGGATCGAATCCAAAACTCTCGAACAGAGAATATGTAATTTTCATTCCTTTAGCTTTTAGACTTAAACATTTCTTTTTCTGTAACTCGTGTGCTTGCGCCCCTTGGAGGCACGTTGTTTTCCGTTTCCAATTGTAAAGTTCATCGCCAATAAAAAGAACACCCCTTTTTGGGACTTTGTTTCAAGAGGTTTCGTCCCTTACACAATCGTCTGATCCTCTTTAATTGTTAGCAAATTAACCCGCGCGAAACAATTTGTAAAGTAATAAGGTCTGGGTAGATCATAAATTAGATTTCAAGTTGTAAGAATAGAGTAAGTTTAGTTGTTTCTTTCGAGGAATTTCACAGGGTTAGTTATGAGCACTTCTACCCATTTTATAGTTTATGACTTTGTTTTTGGAAGGACTCTACTTGTCATAGCTTTTAACTTCAAATTTTTGCCTAGAAAAGATGGGTCCGCTTCGGGACAGACTTAGAATTGCTGGATTCTCCAGGAATAATTCCAATGAGAATCAATGATCAGTCAGCTGCCATTAAACTTGCTATATGTGATGACATTGGGGAGAGATCTTATGACGTTTCTGATGTTGCAGCAATTCTTGTTCAGATGCTTTCAAGGCTTCCAACAGTAGGTTAGTTCTTATTCCTTATAACCTTAGATCATACGAGTTCTTTGATTGAAGAATTTCCAAGTAATATTCTAAGTTATATTTAGTAGGTTAAGTGAGCATATTTAACTAGATGCACTTAAAATTTTATTTAAGTGGCTGTATCTATTTAAATTGGTCTGTTGCAACACTGCTTTTCATTCAGATTCATTGCGATCAGATTATAGTTTATCACCAAATCCTACTTGTAGCTTCAACGTTTTATCTTTAATTTCTTAATACCAATGTCCAAAGTTAGTGGACCATTTTTAGAAATAAAGACGACTCCATTTGGATCCACTATCTACTTCATCTACTCTTTTTACTCTCGGATGTTAGAAACCTTTGTCATCTTTGTAAATACGAAGACTTCAATTAATAGGCAGGTCTACTTGACTCTACATATTAAAACAAAGTTGGGACTTCGAACGTCTGAATTAGCTAGATGTACCATATGTTGCGAAGATAAAAATTCGAATAGCTTAAGGGTTCGTGTTCAATTAAATGAATGCTACGTGTATCATTGATAGTGTATTTATAAACATGCATAAAAAGGAAAATAACTTTAAAATAAAATGAAAGTCGATATGTAGCAAAATAGTCTTGATTATAATATTTCGATATTTATGTTTTGACTGTCAGAAGTGAGGAAGAAAAGATGTTGATTAATAAATATTTATGGTTTCAAATTTTGCATAAGTTTTAGGGCGAGTAGCTGAAAGACTTGGGAAAAGATTTAGAAAAAGAGCAAAAGTAGCCATGTAGGTTCCTCCTATGAATGGAAGCTCAGTGCACATTGCACAACATTAATCTAGTTCCCTGCCTGGAGGATTGGGGAAAAAAAGGGACATCTATAATACATATAAACTGTTTACGCATGTGATTTGAACTAGAGAATGTTTTGTTCGTTCGTTCGTTCGTTTGTTTGTGTTTTTTTTTTTTTTTTTTTTTTTTTTTTTAAAAAATTTTTTTTGCATGAGGATTGGGGAAAAAAAGGGACATCTATAATACATATAAACTGTTTACGCATGTGATTTGAACTAGAGAATGTTTTGTTCGTTCGTTCGTTCGTTTGTTTGTGTTTTTTTTTTTTTTTTTTATTTTTTATTAAACAACTACTGTTGCACCAGTATGCAAATGTAAATTTGGGAAAGAGACTGGTTTATGTGCTCAAATTCTTTCACTGTTGCAACAGGAAATAAAGCTCTTCATGACCGCTACAAGATTGATACTGACGGTCGCATTGGGAAAATGTAAGTTTTGGTTTGTATTATTTGGTGCTAGAGAATGCACATCACACTGCTGCTCATCTTGTACCCTTCATTTCATCTAAGCTCATGAGCTAAACTTAAGCTCATAAAATTTTCGAATTGTCAGTTTTGTTCAGAAGCTTGCACGTCAGTTGTTTAATGGAGACTCTCATCAAGCAGCATTCCGTATCCTATCAGATTTCAGGAAAGGACGGTTCGGCTGGGTAGCCCTGGAGAGGCCTCCCAAGTGGCATGAACATTAACTCGGAAGGCTGTAACCTAATTCTTCAAAAATACTTCTGATGAGCTCAATCCCGGGAAGGCCATGGTGCTAAGAGTTTAGTATTTCACGGTGACTATGATACTCTATATTTATAAGAAGGTTGGATTACGTAGATGGTGTAGAAGAGGGGCTCAGTAAGTATTTTGTAGTTTCTGATTGTAAAATGTAAATAATTTGTATACATCCTTCCTCAAATGAAAGGAATGTGTAGTCCATTTGGTATTTTTGTCACCCTATTATGCGTAGATGATGTGTGCTACTAGAAGCATGTGGTGAATTTTGTTTTATTTTTTTCCTTTTCGAGTTTGTCCGAGAGGAGAGTTGAAAATCTATGGCACCATGGTTAGTGATGAACGCAGACATTACGAGTTAGGGGACAAAATTAAACTTGCAAAAAAGTTACGAGGAATTTTACATTTGAAAAAGTCAGCCTATGTAAATTTTACTTAAGGGGTATGACTTTTTCGAATGTAAATTTTAGAAAATATTTGACATCATGTCCCATGTAAAATTTTTTAATAAAATAATTTAAATTATACTGAGAAATTTGTCGTATAAAAATAATAAATATTGATGAAATAATTGAAATTTTTTAAATAAAAGATGAGGTAGACGTCTCATTTTAAGACGCACGTTTATGCACTTTTAATTATTTTCGATATTCATTTTGATCATTCGATACATCTATGATATATTTTTTGAAATGAACTTCGCAATCATATAGGAGATTTGTAGATTGGCTAATGTACGATCGTCAAAATTTTTTCAAAAGTAATATTTTATCGTAATTCTCGAAATACTAATTTGGGACTACCCGTTTTGACGAACTGTAATATTTTCTACGATAGGCCATTTCGCGTGTCGTTAACGACATGAATAATTAAGTCGTGAGTATTTTGAAATGATATTAACAATATAATATTTCGATTTTGTTTGACATCACCTCGAAAAAATAAAAAATAAAATTGCCAAAGTTAGGGGTTCATGTGACCTCATGGCACTGCTTGTGCCCGCCCGTGACTATAGTACTGGTTATGAAAATTGAACTAGACTGATCGGTTTGATCGAAAAATTGGAGATCGGCTGCACAATCGGTCCGATCAAGCATATAAAACCGTCCGGCTCCAAAACCGCTTAATCGCTGGTGCACCCGGACCTGGCCAACCAGGTCACGCTTTTCCTCACCCACTTGATTTCAACAGAGAGAAAAGGAAAGGTCCCTTCCACACATTCAGATTTGAATTTCAACATTCAAAAGTCAAAATTACTTTAAGAGCTGAAAGATTAGGGGTTTTAGTAATGAGAAGTAGAGATAAAATTTACCTTCAAAACTGGAACCAGGATATCACCTTGGCCTAGAAATTGTGGCTTGACTTTTCTTATTTTCACTCTTCATTTCCACTGGAGAAGGTAAAAGGATTGTGGATGAAAATGAAAAGCTAGGTGGTGCGGCTAGGAATGTCAATTTGGTTCGGTGGCTTAGGCCATCGGTGGCACGGCCCGAAAAAAGCCCGTGCTGGCTTGGCTCAAGGCTTGGGTCGAACCCCATTTTGAGGTTTCGGACTTAGCCTGAGCTGGCCGATGTTGCTCGCCGGCTCGAGACTTATTTTATTAAACAAAAAAAACCACGAAAAGTTAAAAAATGGCAGCTAGCTACTTCCTTATTAATTATTAAAAAAAAAAGAAAAAAGGAAAAAAGAGAGAAAAAAGGGAGCCGACTCGGCTCAATTCGTTGACATCCCTAGGTGCGGATGGTGCCTTACGCTCTCGTTTTCAATTTATATTATTATATATTTTTTGCCTCTATCGATTAACTATTATGACTTACAATTAAAGAAATGAATATTTTTAAATTATTACATCAAATTACAGATAAGTATATTAGCCAATTAAATTGGTAAAAATTGGTAAATTACAGATGACGCAATATTTATTGTATGTTTATTAAACTTATATTTTAACTTTTTATGATATAGTTAAATAAAAATTTGATAATCTTATATTATCAATTTGACTTCAGTTCAATCTCGATTTAATCATTTGACTCTTGACTCTTTATCTTTTTCGGATCTATGCCCAGTTCAATTTTTAAAATAGCGCGTCATCATCATCGTCCTCATCCAGTCTTAAGCAATAATCAACGATGTAGATCAGGGACAATTTTTATCAATTCCATATTAACTATCAATTCTACTACATGCACATAAATTCTCTATGAATAGGTTGACAGATGCACGCCCCAGAAATTCAAATCAATGGACCTACTTATACAAAATTATCTGTAAAAGTAGGTTAATTCATAAACTATTAAGTCAAATAAGTCAACAAATTGATTTATATAGAATAGAACTATTAGGAGAAGTTACTTAAACTAATTAGTCTTAATTCAGGGATATGGATGCAATTAGCAGTTAAATCAACGGCCTTACTACATTTACATAATTTTCATAATGGTTTACCAACAGATAATATAGCAAAATTTAATTGGATTGAAATCTTATCAATTAAATAACTTTTTCGCTTACATTTTGACAACTTATCATTATGTAAATAGTTATGCATGAGAAGCATTTTCCTTGCATTAAAATAGAAGCTCATAATTAACTTATCCAAACTGGAAAGCAATAAAGCAAAGTAATACAAGTTTTGAACAACAAATGTGGCTGTAGTTTAGTGGTCAGAATTCCACGTTGTGGCCGTGGAGACCTGGGCTCGAATCCCAGCAGCCACATTAAATTTTTTTTTTTTTTTTTTTTTTTTTGTAAAAAAAAAAGAAAAAAGGAAAAAAGAGAGAAAAAAGGGAGCCGACTCGGCTCAATTCGTTGACATCCCTAGGTGCGGATGGTGCCTTACGCTCTCGTTTTCAATTTATATTATTATATATTTTTTGCCTCTATCGATTAACTATTATGACTTACAATTAAAGAAATGAATATTTTTAAATTATTACATCAAATTACAGATAAGTATATTAGCCAATTAAATTGGTAAAAATTGGTAAATTACAGATGACGCAATATTTATTGTATGTTTATTAAACTTATATTTTAACTTTTTATGATATAGTTAAATAAAAATTTGATAATCTTATATTATCAATTTGACTTCAGTTCAATCTCGATTTAATCATTTGACTCTTGACTCTTTATCTTTTTCGGATCTATGCCCAGTTCAATTTTTAAAATAGCGCGTCATCATCATCGTCCTCATCCAGTCTTAAGCAATAATCAACGATGTAGATCAGGGACAATTTTTATCAATTCCATATTAACTATCAATTCTACTACATGCACATAAATTCTCTATGAATAGGTTGACAGATGCACGCCCCAGAAATTCAAATCAATGGACCTACTTATACAAAATTATCTGTAAAAGTAGGTTAATTCATAAACTATTAAGTCAAATAAGTCAACAAATTGATTTATATAGAATAGAACTATTAGGAGAAGTTACTTAAACTAATTAGTCTTAATTCAGGGATATGGATGCAATTAGCAGTTAAATCAACGGCCTTACTACATTTACATAATTTTCATAATGGTTTACCAACAGATAATATAGCAAAATTTAATTGGATTGAAATCTTATCAATTAAATAACTTTTTCGCTTACATTTTGACAACTTATCATTATGTAAATAGTTATGCATGAGAAGCATTTTCCTTGCATTAAAATAGAAGCTCATAATTAACTTATCCAAACTGGAAAGCAATAAAGCAAAGTAATACAAGTTTTGAACAACAAATGTGGCTGTAGTTTAGTGGTCAGAATTCCACGTTGTGGCCGTGGAGACCTGGGCTCGAATCCCAGCAGCCACATTAAATTTTTTTTTTTTTTTTTTTTTTGGGTAATTGATTTTCTCGGCCCGGGGGTATTACCAGATCCCAGTTTATTAAGCAATGAAACGCCGCTCTCTCTCCTACGAACTAGCCGTTACAAACTCAACTTTCTCTTCCCTCTTCTCACTATATCTTATACTCGCTCTAACGAATCCAATAGCTGTAAATGGCGACTTCTATGGAATCTATTTCTCCCCCTTCAATCAAAGAGGTTTGTTTACTCCTTACAACCATTCTTTCGTTTAATTAAACTCATGAATTTTCTGTTAATTTCAAACCATTTCTTGCTATTTTATCAGAGATCGCCAAGCTTGATGGGATCTTCTTCCCCGATCTACAGCCCGTCTTCAGATAAGCGATTCTGGAGCACCCTGCGCAGCCGGGTCGACTCGCTTCTCGAGAATCGAAAACCTATGGATCAATCCGTGCACGTTCAAATGGTTTGATATTTTATCAGTCTTGAATTGGGGGGTTTTTGGACCTTTTTTTTCCTCCGATTTGATGATGGATTTTTATGGGTTCTGTGAAAATTGTGTAGAATGATGAGACAATGCAGCGGGAGAAGAGATTGAAGGAAGACTCCATGCTTTTGCTCAGAGGGTTTGACTCTGTTTCTCAGTCACTTTGTCAGCTTTCTGACAATCTCGAGAATGCTCTGCAGGTAACAAAAGACCAGTATCTTGAACTTTTACTTTGAAGCTTTTGGTTTTTATTACAAATTCCTTTGTTGTTCAGGGAGCTAAATATCTTGCTAGACCTCCCAAATTGACTGAAATCCTTCAGGCCACACTGGAAAAAGCCAGAAGTGAGGAAAAACTGAAAAATGAAAATATAGATGAAGAGGACGAGGACGAGGCAAAGGAGAGTGAAGAAACCAGAAGAGGATTGAAAAGGAGGTTGGACTCTCCAGAATGTCCTGAGAGTCAAACAGAGGATTCCCATAACCAAAATGCACAGAGCCCAAAAGAATTGGGGCAGCTGAAGAAAGCTAAAAATGTTGGTATCTTTTACTTTTGATTATAATTGATTATTATCGGATATTTATATTGACAGATTATCATTTTGTCTAAAGCTGGCAATTTCTATGGCAACAAAAGTAGCCGGCTTTGCAAGAGAATTGAAATCAATCAAGTCAGATTTAAGGTTTACACAAGAAAGATGCTGTCTTTTAGAGGAAGAGAACAGGAAACTTCGTGATGGATTTGGTAAAGGTATCCAGCCGGAGGAGGATGATTTGGTAATTATAATTTACTCTCCTTAAGTACCTTTGCATATTCTTACGAAACAACTGAAAATGGTTGTTCAAAAATGTGAAGCTTTAGATATTCTGATTTGGGAACGATTAGTGGAATGTGAATCATTTTCATCACTCGCATCATCAGTTCATTGGTAGAACAAATGACGATCCAAGGCTAATCTATTCTAGTAATCACAACAAACTAAGTTACTTTTGCTGTGGCACTCCTCCTAATGGTATGCTGCATTGTACTTCAAATGATCGCGCCTATACTCTTGATGGGTTTTATGCCTATTCCGTAGCATGTTCCATATCGTACACAAACGAACAACTATTATTTAAATACGTCCGTTACGGATAACACTGATGCCTTGCATCTTCATTCAAACTTTTTTGCAGGTAAGACTTCAATTGGAGGCACTTCTTGCTGAGAAATCGAGATTGGCAAATGAAAATGCGAACCTGAAAAGGGAAAACCAGTGCCTCAACCAGCTTCTGGAGTACCATCAGCTCACTTCACAAGATCTCTCTGCATCTTATGAGAATCTAATAGGGGGAATGTGCTTAGACTTTTCATCTCCAGCAGAAGAGTCTGATACCATTGGCGATTACACAGAAGATGCAAAAACACCAAGAACTGATATATTAGGAGTCTCCAAATCATTGAACGAATGCTATGATGAAGAGAAAGATGCTATTGGGAGTGCTTAGACTTTTCATCTCCAGCAGAGGAGTCTGATACCACTGGCGATTACACAGAAGATGCAAAAACACCAAGAACTGATATATTAGGAGTCTCCAAATCATTGAACGAATGCTATGATGAAGAACAAGATCAATAGAAGCTTGTAAAATTTTGCTTAAGGTTTCTTCTCCTGATCTGTAAAATTATTATTTATTTTTTATGGTATTCATGTTAATCCGCCGTATCATAAACATGTCTCCTACTCAAGAATTATATTATAGGGGATCTTGTTTAAGAAGCCTAGTCAACGATAATCTTTGGTAAAATAGCCTATATCAATACTTTTTGTTCAAGTAGTCCATAGTCTATTTGATTATATATTAAAAGTCTTAAATACCCTTAAACTGAAATCCCTAATTTTCACCATATTAAACCCACCTTCAAATTCAGCTTTATTCTTCTTCATATGCATTATTCTTGCTTACAATGAATGATTGCATGTTGAAGTTCCCTTTCTTGAACCAAAAACAAATGAAATAGTGCATATTTTGGAGGTGGGTTAGCAAGAATCGAAGTCACACAGTTGAAGGTGAGCTTTATAAATTGAAAATTATCGATTTGTTGTTATTTTTTAGTTGTATACTATGAGAAAAATCAATTGGGTAATTAAAATTTGCTGTAAAATATTGAAACGAATTGGTGCCATTTCTCAGTAGTTGGGTGCCCTTTTTTCCAGCTGGCTGCTGTTTTAATAAGACAATGGTGGTATTGATATACTTGTTAGCAAATTAGTAGTTTTCCTATTCTTTTATAGCATTTTATTATTATAAATAAATTTAAACGGCACATACACATTTTAAACTACTGAATGCCATTTTGTTTTGCTTAAATCTGTTATGTAACAATATGAGTGGCCTTTTATTTGTTATTGAAGTTGTGATTGATAGTATTTAGTTTTGACAATTAATGGAATAATATATTTTTTTTTTGTTGAATTGCAGATATGGACTCTGGTGCAATGATTGTTATTTGTTATTTTGTTAAATTTGAAAAGGGTGATGAAGGTTGATGGATTTGGAAATGGATAGGGAATGATGAAGACACCGCAACAAATATTTTTGTATCAAAAACAATCTCATATGCAGAGTTGTATAACGAAGTTCGAAAAGTAGTTAAGGTTGATCCCAATGTGTATGACATCGAGATGAAATTTCTTGTTCCCGGCATGGCAAAATTATCAGTTCCGCCAGTGAAGATTACTTGCGATATGGATGTTAGTTGGTTTCTTTCTTTGCATGACAAAGTTCCAATTTGTGTAACCCTTGTAAAAAAGGGTTATGTTGATCAACAAGACATGGATGTTAACATTGTAAATGTTTAGGTTATGTTGATCAACAAGACATGGATGTTAACATTGTAAATGTTTAGGAGAATCATGAATACAATTTAAATGTTGTTGCAACTAACAATTCGGTGGACATGGATGAATTTTATATGCAAAATGATCAGTCCGATGACAATTATATGCGATCGTTGTCTCCATGTAATCAAAATTGTGAAAATAATTGTGTCAACTTTACAAGTGATGATTATTGGGATGGGGTAGAAGTAGTGCATGGCAACTACATAGATGATTATCATGTGATAAATGAAGACAATGTTACTCATAATACACCTTTTACATTGGTAGATGAGATCATTGGCATTTCCCAAGTTGTTGCTTGTCCAAATCCTTGTAGAACATCAGTTAAGATTCTTGATGTCGATGATGTGCACGTTAGCCAAATTTTTCGCAACAAGAAGGATTTTCAGGCATCACTACAAATGCTTGCTGTAAGAAACTCTTTCGAATTTAAGGCCACAAAGTTAAATAAGAGTACATATGTAGTAGTTTGTGTTGAGGAAATTTGCAAATAGCGTTTGTGGGCAACACGATTGAAGGAAAGTGACAAATTTGAAATTCAAAAGTATTCACGTTATCATAATTGTTCATTGGATGTTCGCCACAAAGATCATAGACAAGCTAATTGTTGGATGATAGGAAAACACATCATGTCGAAGTTTGAGGATCTCAACATTATATATAGACCTTCGAACATTCAAAATTATATTCGTCGGGAGTTTGGCATAGATAGAAATTATTATAAGGCATGGATGGCTAGAGATTGTGTTATAGAGCTATTAAGAGGTTCACCTGATCTTAGTTATGATAGATTGGCCGAGTATTGCAATATTCTGAAGAAGAATAATCCCGGTACAGTGACGTTTATTGAGGTTGATAATGAGAACCGATTCAAATATTTTTTTATGGCTTTAGGACCAAGCATACGTGGTTTTCACTCATCAATGAGACATGTCATTTTTGTGGATGGAACATTTATGAAATCAAAATTTCGAGGTACGTTACCTGTTGCCATGTGTCAAGATGCAAATTTTCAGATATATCCTCTTGCATTTGGCATTGTTGATTCTGAAAATGATGCATCATGGACTTGGTTCTTTGATAAGTTGTTTCAGGTAACGGGTATATTGGAAGGGCTTGTTTTCATTTCTGATCACAAGGATAGCATTGGTAATGCTATAAAGATTGTTTATCCTAATGCACATCATGGATGTTGCATGTGGTATCTACAACTAAACATAAAGTCAAATTATCATAAGGCCAATATTCTGCCATTGTTTATGGCAACTGCAAAGGAGTATAGTTTGATTAATTTTGAAAAATTAATGACAAATCTATATCGTAAAAGTCCGGCAGTTGGACAATACCTAGAAAACAAAGTTGGGTATGAATTTTGGTCACGAGCACATTTCAAAGGAGTCCGTTACAATATTATGACAACTAACAATGCAGAATCTTTGAACTCGTTATTCAAGAATGCTCGGGAGTTTCCAGTACTTGCTATGGTTGAGCAAATAAGAAAAACTTTACAGAAATAGTTTTATGAGAGACACATTGAGACGGAAAAATGTGCAACTACTCTAACCCCGCCCATTGAGAATAAAATGCGTAAAAAGTATAATGATGCAAAAGGATTGATAGTGGTACTAATAAATGAGTATGAGTTGCACGTCGGTGTTGAGAATGAAATGCATATCGTGAACTTGGAGGAAAAAACCTGTAGTTGTATGGAATTTGATTTGGAAAAGCTTCCTTGCAAACATGCACTTACAGCAGCGAAATTTAAGGGAATATCTTGTTACAGTTTGTGCTCACCTTATTATACCAGTGCTAGTTGGAAACAAGCATATGCTAAATGTATATATCCAGTGGCAAATGAGGCTGACTGGGAAATCTCCAATTAGCCAAAGGTGTTACCACTCCTTTCAAATCGACGACAAAGTGGACGCCCAAAAAATCGTCAAATTCTATCAAGAAGAGAGGGAAAAAAAACTCATAAATGTAGTAGGTGTGGTTAGAGGGGCCATAATCTTCTGACTTGCAAAAATGCTCTACACTAGCTGACAGATGCATAGAACATTTTTTGTTTAGCATAATCTTGAAATTATAATAGATTATGATGATTTTTGTTATACTGTGATAGTTGTCTGACAAAGTATGATAGCTATTTCAGACAGATTTTTGATAAATATGATAGCATCACAGTTTGTTTAGACCAAAACGATATCAGGTCGTTTTAAATGTATGGGTGCTATGTCTACTCATTTTGTGTTCATTTTTGTTCATTCACGTTTGTTATGGATGGATGGATGGATGTTAATCATTTATTTAATTTTTACATTGTGATATATTTTGATCAATTATAATATATTTGTAAGTCAGATTCTAATAAAAATGACAGCAGCACTGTTTGTTTAGTCAAAAACGGCAGCTGGGCGTTTCAAACTTATGGGCGATATTTCTACTCATTTCGTGTCAGTTTGGTGCAATGAAACCCGTAACCACTTGAAAATTGAAGGACAAAGGTTCGAATTACATTTTGTCGTTACGATCGACACATTTGTCCGAATTATTGTGAATTTCTCTATAGTCCCATCGACTATACTACACTTCACTTGACAATGAAGAACAACCTAAGATGCAAGTGTGGTATGTAAATCATAGCACGTGTAGTCGTTCAACGTGTTCCGGACGTGTATCATGTCCCAAACATCGTTGCGCTAGTTTCAGAGTGAAACCGATACCTCCGGACCCAAAATGACAGTTGGGCGTTTCAAACGTATGGGCGACGTTTCTACTCATTTCGTGTCCATTTGGTGCAATGAAGCTCTTAAGCACTTGAAAATTAAAGGACAAAGGTTCGAATTACATTTCGCCGTTATGATCGACGCATTTGTCCGAACTAAAGTGAGTTTCTCTATAGTCTCACCGACTACACTACACTCCACTTGACAATGAAGAACAACCTAAGGGACAAGTGTGGTATGCAAATCATAGCACGCGTAGTCGTTCAACGTGTCTCGGACGTGTATCATGTCCCAAACATCGTTGCATTAGTTTCTGAGTGAAATCGGTACCTCCGGACCCAAAACGGCAGCTGGGCATTTCAAATGTATGGGTGACATTTCTACTCATTTCGTGTCCATTTGGTGCAATGAAGTTCGTAAGCACTTGAAAATTGAAGGACGAAGGTTCGAATTACATTTCGTCGTTACGATCGACGCATTTGTCCGAACTATAGTGAGTTTCTCTATAGTCCCACCAACTACACTACACTCCACTTGATAATGAAGAACAATCTAAGGGGTAAGTGTGATATACAAATCATAGCACGTGTAGTCGTTCAACGTGTCCCGGACGTGTATCATGTCCCAAACATCATTGCACTAGTTTCGGAGTGAAACTGGTACCTCCTGACCTAAAACGACAGCTGGGCGTTTCAAACGTATGGTTGTAGTTTAGGATTTAGGGTATAGGGTTTAAATCTATACTACAATTTTTCAACGTACAGTGTTTTTAAGATATTTCAAGATTAATTCACTAGTTTTGGAGTAAATTCGAGACTCCTTAACCCAAAACGACATATTGGCGTTTTGCTCATATGGGTGCCATTTTAGGTATACGGTATACAAAAAATCACGTATAATCATTCAGTACATTCGATCTTGTTACAAGTATAACTACCATTTAGGGTACACAAACCATAGCACATTTTGGTGCACTTTAGGAGAACACTTTAGTCGTATGACCCAAACGACATGCTGTCGTTTTAAACGTAGAACTGTCGTTTTTCATATAAGAGTCTATTTTTCAACACCATATAGATAAGTTATGACAAACTGCATCTTCCTTTCAACTATGTCTACTTCAATATTTGAATGAAACATCCTATAATGAAAATAATATAATTTGTAAACAAGACTGATCAACATCCAAAAAAAAAGCCATCGTCTACACAAATCTGACTAGAAAATCAACATCCAAAGAAACTAGACAAATCTAATTGATCAGCATCCAAATCTGACTAGACAAAATCAACATCCATAAATTTCATAAGAAGATTGATGAACATCCAAAACTGACTAGACAAAAATCAGCATCCGTGCACATGTTTTCCAACTAAATCATTTCAAAACTACCATCTAGACAAATATAGCATCAGAGTTTAAATCTTTTAACCATATAAACGTGCAAAATATACCAAAAAAATAATTATGGATCGAAATGCATAGCAAAAACTTCAGCAGCTAGTTTCTTCCTCCAACTTTCAATGTAAAATTCTTAGCTAACCATATGCCCACAGTCAATGAATGAAAGCGTATAAATGTGAGATATCGGTGATTTTTTAGGAGTTCTACATCATAATCTTTCATTTTATGATGCCAATGGTACAAGCTCAGTACACAGCAAAAACTACAATGGAAAAACACTTTGAGCTTACTAGATATTAATGGAACATTCATTATATAGGAAAGAGAAAATGTAAATCGGAAGAAAACGTATTCTGCATTTAAAGTAGAAAAGCGGCCAAATTAGTGCTTTCAAAATGTTTTAGTTCGTCAAAACCCAAAAAATATAATTCTTTATTTTTTTAAAATGTAGCAACAGTCTAAAAGGCATTATTGATCTAATCTTATTAACAGAAGTACAAACATTACATTCAAAGTATCTACGTGAAATAAAACTAATATAAAAAAATCCACCAACCTCGGCAATGCCTTCAATTTGATCTAACAAAGATATGATATGTCGTAAAGTAACAGATCGATACCATAATTGATGTCACTGCTTATTACGTGCTCCAAGAAATTTTTTTGCCACCACTAAATCAACCTTTAAGACCCCAATATCTTGACTAGATTCACTAAAAAATCGTAAAATCTGAAGGTAATAAAAGATTAACAATAACAAAAAAAAAAATGATGGTTGAACTGATTTCTATACAAGAAAACAGGAAAAAATGA